TTGGACAGACGGGACGTAACATCAGCGTAAGACTAAAAGAACATCAGAGAAATATTAAATTATCTCAAACACAACTGTCGGCAGTGGCAGAACATGCTTGTCAACAAGGATACTCAATTGATTTTGATAATGTTGCAGTGTTGTGTAAAACTAATTATTACCGGCAAAGACTAATTAGAGAATCCATTGAAATTGAGAGGAATAAAAAAAACTTTAATCGCTCTGACAGCTACAGGCTTAGTGCGGCCTGGAAGCGCATTATTAAATAATACACATTACATTTTGACTTAAAGCTTTCGTGACTGCAGTAATTCATGTTCTTGGCTCTTTCGGTGGAGTCGCGTTGGGGGGAAGCAATCAAATAATAAAATATATATTTGTTGTTTTGTTGTTTCCCTTTAGCGTGGCTTTGCCAAGGGAGCTAAGAATATGAATGCACATTACAATTCCTTATAGGGGAAACACATACTAATTGACGGATTACTAACATAGCATATAATCACTAACACACATTACAACTAATTACTAATCTACAACTCATTACTAATCATAACCATTGACTGATTACTAATCGATTATATAATTACAATACCCCCCCCCTCCACCTCAAATCACTGCACCTGATATGATTTAAATGATGACGTCACCCTGCTGCTCTTTTTAAAACCGGGAGCAAGCGAGGGCTTTACCATTCCGGCAAATTGCCGATGATGCTGGATGTATTTACGAGCGAAACGTCGTACTCAAACTGTAAATGTTGTGGATTCACTCTTCAACACACCGGTGGGCTAAAGTAGTGAATTATTTGTCTTTTGTCAACGTGACACTTTTTTTTGCTGATTGGCCGTGCCGGGTGGTGGAGGGTTACGACACATTTATAAATAACGTGATCTAACTCAAAAACCTTTATTATGAGGAAGGCTAATAATTTACCTTTTTTAATTACAATTTTACTGTGCAATACAGTATTGTCATTAATAAATACATACAGTATATAGTTTATACAGTACGGTACTGTGAATTGCTCTGTTTTGCTAAATTATAACCATTCTATAAGACTCCTGGGTAGACTAGGCCATTTTCGACTTATGATATTGTCGACTTACGATGGGGTCGTCGTAACGCATCTCCATCGGAAGTCGGGGACTACCTGTAGTCTACACGCATGGTTATAATTGCGGAGAAAACCAATCCACGTGACCACGGGAGAGAGCATGCAAACTCCAAATGCACAGCAGGCATCAGGATCGGGATTGAACCCACGACCTGCATACGAGGCGAGGTAGATGACATCCCAAAACGGAGAGAGACACACAGACTCCAAATATAAATCAGGCATCGTCAGGTTCAGAATAGGCACCCACAACCTCCTGCATACCGGGCGATGTAGTTAACATCTCCTTGCCACCGTGGCGCCTTTAAATAAGTTCAAATTGGATTATCGGGGGTATCACTCTTTTTATTTTACTCATGGAGATGTAGAGACATGTTTCTTTCACAGCGGCATCCAGCCGAACGTGCGTCGCCGCTCAACGAACGAACTGACCACTCGCTCAAACTCAATCCCTCCCCCCCACCCCCACAGTCCCACCCTCGAGTTTTTTGGGAGGTGCAAAGGGGAGAGGAGTCACGTGGGAGGGGACGGCGGCAGCAGTGGCCGCCATCTTCCCGCTCGCAGCAAATTTACAAAATGGAGGACGGCCCCGGGCCCAACGTCTCCGCACCCCTCCTCGCCGCCGCCGCCGCCGCCGCGACGGACCTCATCCACATCCAGATGGTGTTCCGCGAGCCGCCCACCGTCAGGCGCTCCGTGTTCGCCTTCCTCCTCCTCGTCTACGCCCTCACGCTGGCGGGCAACTCGCTGCTGTGCCTCGCCATCGCCCGCGACCGTCGTCTGCACAAGCCCATGCACCTGCTCGTCGCCGCGCTGGCCCTCACCGACCTGGTGGAGAACACCAACGCGCTGCCGCGCACGATGTACGACCTCGTCGGCGACTCCCCCCGCATCTCGGCGCCCTGGTGCATTGCCAAGATGTTCGCCTACCACGTGTCCTTCCGCGTGCACGGCTACATCCTGGCGGCCATGGCTGCCGACCGCTACCTGGCGGTGTGCCGACCGCTCGCCTACCGCGGCGCGGCATCCAACGCCGTCGCCCTCAGGGCCCTGGCCTTCGCCGTCGCGCTCGCCGCCGCCCAGAGCCTCGGCAACGTCGCCATCGCGGTAAATCTCGACCTGTGCAAGCCGCGCTCGTTGATCACGTCCACGTGCGACTTCCTGGCCCTCAGGGTGCTGTCCTGCAACCACGTCGCCCTCGGGCAGGCGTACACCTACGCCATGTCGGTGGCGGGCATAGCGCTGCCTCTGGGCGCCATCGCGGCTTTCTACGCGCTCGTCCTGCACGAGTGCCGCAAGCCGGCCCTCCGCCGCGGCCGGAACAAGGCCCTGCGCACGTGCGGCACCCACCTCGTGGTGGCGGCCATTTACTTCGGCGCCATCCTCGCGACGTTCGCCAGCGGCGCGGGGGGCGGCACCCCGTCGTCCGCGGCGTCGCCGGAGCTGAGCGTGTCGCTCCAGAGCCTGCAGTTCGTCCTGCCGCCGGTGCTCAACCCCATTGTCTACGGCCTGCGGACGGCCGAGGTGAAGGAGAGCCTTGTGAGGTTCTTGCGAAGCCGGGTTAGGCCTGCGAAGCCTCTCGCCCCTCTGCAGGAAGACACGAGGATCGGGTAGCCCTCTCAGATCCCCGCGGGATGCACGGTACCACGTACACGCGGACGCATAAATAACACCCGACCACCTCGCTGGTGCCGGACGATAACGCCGTGATTGATGTGAGCAACGCCATATGAGGAATGGCCAATTCCAATTGACTTTTCCCCCCATCGCACTTGTAGCCACCACAGCGGCGAATGTTGTCTCTGAATGGGTGCAAGGGGCTGGTAACCCCTCGTCCTTCAATTAAAATACCACAAAAGCACGTGTAAAAAATCTAACTAAGCTTGTCCCGGTGGCCGCGGGGGGGGGGGGGACAGGCGTCTAAGACGTTACCTGGGCATACTCCATTTGGTTGAGTCAGGAGACTCATCTCATACCCTCGGGATTGCTCCAGAAATGGCAAAACAATTACTGCATTTGGCCATGTTGAATGTTCAAACGCTCACTGCGCAGGAAAGCTGCCACTCCTCTGTCGGGAACTGGACCGGTACCACCTGGATCTCTGCGGCTTTCATTAGGTACGGTGGACTGGATCTGGCTCCATTCACCATGGGGGGTGGACAGTCCTCAACTTGGGCAGGAGAATGCCAAACAACAGGGAGTGGCTCTTCTTCTGAACAAAAAACATGAAGGGGGCATGGGAGCGTGGAGGTGATGTTTGGGAAGCTGTAAGCCCCAGGCTACTGTGGGCTCACCTTCCTATCAACAGAAGGTGAGGGATGGTGGCGGTTGCTTACGTCCCTACAGAAGGAGGAATGCAGGCAAGGCCGATGTGTCCGACGCCTTCTATGACACTCTTTGGTTCTCTCAGTAAAGTCACGTAGGTATAAAGTAACAATAAATCGCGACGTTTCGATCGCAACACAGGCGGTCGTCCTCAGGCAGAAAAAAATATAATCCAGCAGTGGAACTGTTTAACAAGTGAGAGAGCTGTTGCAACAAGGAGGTTATATACGTGCTAAGGAAAGGTGGCATTTGTGTGCAGACTGCACTATATTACTTCATAATAACAGTGTTTAAGAAGGTGGACTGCACAGATTGTAACAATTCTGCTGGGAAAGGTCCTGGCAAAGATCATTCAACATTTTCTTGCCAGGCACGCTGAGGAGAGGCTTGCGGAGGCCCAATGGTTTTACCCAGTGCGGTCCTGCACAGATGCCATATTTTCCGTCAGTTTGCTACAGCAGAGGTGTAGGGAATGCCGAAAGGACCTACGTCTCTGCTTTATTGACCTGGCCAAGGCCTGTGAAACTATCGAAAGGACTGGGCTCTGGGGTTTTCTCCATGCTTTCGGAGTTCCTGATTTTCTGCTAACAATATTTAAGGACCTTTATGATGGTGGGCAGGTCCGGGTAAAGATGCGTGGCCAGGAGTTGGAGCCATTCCCTGTTCACCTTGGGGTTCGACATGGATGTCCTCTGGCTCCCACATTATTTAACATCTTTTTTGACCACGTAGTTGGAGAAGCCTTCTATCCCTGTACTGGAGGAATCTCCATCTGGTACAGATACAATAGGAGTCTGATAGATGCCCGTGTGCGGTCATGGGATGGCTCTCTATTGGTAAACCATGTTTTGTATGCCGATGATCTGGTGATTGCTGCTTACTCAGAGGAAGAGTTGGAGGCGCTGCTGCTTATCATCAATCCCTCCAAAACTCAGCACCTGCCTGGGTATTGTGTGCCATCAAACACTCCACCTCCTCAGTTCCCCATTGGTTGTGGGGCAGTTGTGGAGAGAGTGGAGAGTTTTCCATACCTGGGCAGTGTGATTAAGACAGGCTCTGGTTTGAAAGTAGAATTCTTACTCCGAATCAGTCTAGTGGCATTATATTTTCATCGGCTGGATTACCCTGGGCGGAAGCTACCTGATCTGTCACTCCACTCAAAGCTTCGGGTCTTCTCGGCAATCATCATCTCATCCCTTCTCTACGCTTGCAAAACGTGGACCGCCCTAACGGAACATCTTCGGCAGTAAGAAACATTCAGGCTGGCCTGCCTACAACCCTTGCTGGGTTTATCCAGGCTGGGTTATGGGAGGAGCTAATAAATCAATTGAAAGATTCGGACAAAGTCACATCGGTGAGCTCTTCCGGCAGGCAAGGCTGCGTTGCCTGCCTCATGTAGACCGCATGCCCAGCCAACGCATGCCGAAACAGCTTTTTGCTCGGACATATAAAAGGGGGCGATCCAGGGCGCCGGCTACGTCGCCGTGGTCGCGCGCCTCCGCTCCTGCCGGGCGCGCGTCGTGCCTCGTCCACGTGCGACTTCTCGGCCGTGCGCCGACTCATGTGCGGCGAGGTGGGCTACGAGGCGCCCGTCGTCTACGCCAACATCCTCCTGGGCACCGCGCCGCCGCTGGGCGCCGTCGCGGCCTCCTACGCGCTCATCCTCCGCGAGTGCCGCGGGCAGCGGCTCCCCGGCGGGCGCCGGAGGGCGCTGAGCACGTGCGTCACGCACCTGCTCCTCGTGCTCGTATACTTCACGTCGATCTTCTTCTTCACGTTCGCCACGGGCCTCAGGCTGGGCGCGGCCACGTCCGGCGAGGGGGTGACCGCCCTCCAGACCGTCCAGTTCATCCTGCCGCCCGCGCTGAACCCAGTCATCTACGGGCTCAGGACGGCGGAGGTCAGGCGAGGGCTGGCGAGGTTGTTGCCAAGTAAAATATGGCCCAGCAGTTAGGGGCGGGGGGGGGCAATGGTGGTTTGTTGTTTTATTGTTGTTGTTGTGCAGACTTCCGCCCTCCCCATCAACGTAAAAAATATTAAATGAAACATCGCTTCCTGTTGGTAGGCTCGATGTGAATCACACCAAAGGTTGAGAGGGTTTGTCCGAGCTGGCCACTGACCTTCAGTGTGGCCTGTGTAGAGCACCCATTGGAAATCCGCTTGTGAGTGATTTGAGAGTCGGTGAATTTCAGAGAAACGATGACTATAATAATAGTGTTTAGAACAGTGGTTCTTAACCTGGCGTCGTGTAGTGTAGTAGATAGTAGTGGCTAGTGTCTAGTCGTCTAAAGTGTAGTATATGGCATAGTGTGAATCGTAGTGTAGTGTATAGTAGTGTATTAGACTGTATTGTAGTGTATAGTCGTGTATAGTGTAATGTATAGTCTAGTGTAGTGTACAGTAGTGTATAGTGTAGAGTATAGTCGTGGGGAGTGTATAGTAGCGTATAGTGTAGTGTATGGGAGTGTAAAGCGTAATGCATAACAGTGTACAGTGGAGTATATAGTGCAGTGTAGAGTGGAGTGCGTAGTGTTGTTGTAAAGTAGTGTATAGTGTAGTTTATAGTGTAGTGGTTCTTAACCTGGGATGGGGGTCGATGCGAGACATTGCCTGATTTGTTTAGAAAGTAAATAATTGACAACACAAATTAAGCATGGGGCACGTAAGTTACAATTCATTTTGTTTCATATTCTATTTTTATTTCTGTAAAGTCAAGATAGAAAACAATAATGATAACAATAAAATAATACAAATACAAGTGAAAAGAAAGTGAATAAAAAAGATAATTAATTGATATTTTTATTCACTTTATTTATTTATTTTATTGTTATTTTTTCTTACTACGTCACTTTGCCGAAAGAACCACAGAATATGAATTCCTGCAGTCCCGAAAGTTTTAAGTCAAAATGTATTTTGTTTCATCAATGTCCGTGTTTATTAACATGATAGTTTTTTTGTGTGTTACTATTGAGAACCAAATGGGTGCAAGGCTGCAAGTGAAGGTTAAGAACCACTGGGTTAGAAGTTAGAAAGTTCTTACCTTGATTCTTAGCAATTCCTCGCTTCTTCTTTGGTTCTTTCGGTAAAGTCACGTAGAATGAGAATAAAATAATAAATTGATAAAATTAAATAACACAATAATATTCTCACGACGTTTCGGCCACAACACAAGCGGCCTTCATCAGGTGAAGGGACGAGACTGTCTGGAGGACAGCGCTGGAGTGAAAAAGCCACGTTCAGATCACGACCTTTAAGCTGTGTGAGAAGAAACAAAGCGCCATGACAAAGGAATTAGCATAGAATTTAGCATTGAAATGGCTGAGTGATTAGCTTGTGACTGGTCACAGAAATGGCTTTGTTAAAGTTAAAGCATACACATCCGCATAGGCACCCCTTGACAAAGGAATTAGCATAGAATTTAGCATTGAAATAGCTAAGTTAAAGCATACACATCCGCAGAGGCACCCCTTGACAAAGGAATTAGCATAGAATTTAGCATTGAAATAGCTGAGTGATTAGCTTGTAACTGGTCACAGAAATAGCTATGTTAAAGTCAGAGCATACACATTCACAGAGGCACCTAGTACAAATCAAACAGGAGAATTTAGCAATGAAATAACTGAGTGATTAGCTTGTGACTGGTCACAGAAATGGCTATGTTGAAGTTAAGGCCTACACATCTGAGCTATTCACAGTAACTGGGTATACACTACAATATATGATGAATACTACATAGTGAACTAATAAAAAAAAACTAAAATATAAATTACCTCAGTGTTAGCAAAAAACTCTATATATTCTCCAATCAGCTAAGCTACCAACAATAAGTCGTTATATATCACAATGCTATATGGCGAAAAAATGGGTGGATTCTTACCCTCAACTTTAGCAACACGGATAGCTACGGGCCCCGTTCAGACGGACGAGTTCATCCATGGTCGGAACAGAGGAGGGGGAGAGAGACAGCTGCGAGGCGCTGTTATACTCCATGTTGTAAACCATACCATTAACCGTGGTGTGAGAGGTATTAAGAGTCAATGCCAGCGAAAGAGCTGCGGTCTGAAGGTCATCGTAAAATACAATTAATTAAGAACGGAAATGGTTTAAAACATCTTTCCAATGGTTACTAAGAGAATATTATTGTGTTATTTTATTTGATCAATTTATTAACTTTATTCTCATTCTACGTGACTTTACCGAAAGAACCAAAGAAGATGAATCCTTGCAGTCACGAAAGCTTTAAATCGAAATTACTCGCTTGTTTGGACCGAATGTAGCAAATGGCCGTTCCGCTACGTTGCCTTGTAACGTCATCACGCCTTGTAACGTCAACACGCCTTGTAACGTCATCACGCCTTGGAACGTCATCACGCCTTGTAACGTCATCACGCCTTGTAACGTCATCACCACAGCACTCACTTCCCCTGTTGTCAGCCATTTTAAAGAATTAAATTAATTTTAAAAAAGTTGTGCTTACGTGCGTTGAACTTCTTTCGCACCGTACGTAGACAATCGTGCTCTATATATATACGTAAGTGTTGTTGTTCTTAACCAGGATGGGCTCGTGACACATGGCACTACCACTGCACTCTCTCACACTGCATTGAGTAAGTTGCTAAGTGAGTGAGTCGCTGAGAGAGTGGGTGGCTGGCTGGCTGAGTGAGTGACTGAGTGAGTGATTGGCTGAGTGAGTGGCTGGCTGAGTGAGTGACTGAGTGAGTGGCTGAGTGAGTGAGTGGCTGGCTGAGTGAGTGATTTTCTGGTTGAGAGAGTGAGTCGCTGAGTGAGTGGCTGTCTGAGAGCGTGAGTCGCTAAGTGAATGAGTGGCTGGCTGAGTGAGTGATTGGCTGTTTGAGTAAGTGAGTGGCTGGCTGATTGAGCACGTGGCTGGTTGAGAGCGTGAGTGAGTCGCTGAGTGAGTGGCTGGCTGAGTGAGTGAGCGGATGGTTGAGAGAGTGAGTGAGTGGCTGGCTGAGTGAATGAGTCGCTGGTTGAGTGAGTGGCTGGATGAGTGAATGAGTGGCTGGCTGGTTGGGTGAGTGCAGTGGCCTGGCTCACCAAAATTCATAAGAAAGCAAAAAAAACACCAACCGAAAGAAAATCTGACATAGGTGCAGCCACGAAGCGTCACTGCTTCATGCACCTCGCTCTCCCGTCTCCCCCTCTCTCCATTGTCTCGGTCGTTCCCTGGATATTCCTGAGCACCGCCCATTTCGGAGAGAGCAGGAGACACGTGCCACCCTCTTGCATCCCTGTGCACCCACCGTCTCCCCCTGGTGCCCCCACCCCACCCCACCCTCCACACTAATTGCTAATTTGCTCCTTGCACAACGAGGCGTTCCCCCTTGGCACAACAACAACAACAACCACCACCACTACCACACCTCACAACAACAACCACACCCCACAACAACGACGACGACGACAACCCCCACTCAACAACCCACTCTGAGGTCTTCCCTTGAGATGGTGTGGCGGTACGGGAGGGATGGGGGGGGGAGGGAAATGGGAGGTGGGGGCCTTGGTGGTGGGGTGAGGTGGGGGAAGGGATTGGTAGGGGGGGGGTAGATTAGTGTGGGTGGGGGCGTTGGTGGAGGTGGGTGGAGGTGGGGTAGTGGATTGATGGGGGGCGGGAGAGGCGGGGGGACCCCACCACGCATAAAAGACGGTACGCTCCGAGTCGCCTGCTGAGAACAAGGACTTCAACAACAAGTGATGAGATCGTCGTCCATCATCATCATCATTATTTGTGATCATCGATAGGATTGTTGTTGATGTGATAGAAACTCCGACGTTGCTTTGTTATTTTTCTGAGCTGAGATTATTGCACGTGAAGGGCGACAAACGGGTGAGTTCTAAAGAACGTCGCCACGACCATCATCACCATCATCATCATGTCCGGCAGCATCGTGATCATTACCAGAATCACCATCATCATCACCATCATAACCTGCAACATAATGATCGTCATTAACATCACCATCATTATCATTACCGGCAGCATCATGATCAGCATTATGATTATCACCACCTTCATCACCATCAAAGGGAGCGTTATCATCATGATGATGATGATCAGCAGCAGAATAATTGATGTCATTACCATTAAAATCTTAGGCTTCGGGGCAGTGTGCTGGATGAGGTTTGAGTGTCGGGTGTTATGGTTTCTGTGACGTGATATAGCCACGACTACCACCCAATCTGGAGGCAGCTGCACCACCACCACCACCCCTGTGCTACAGAGCGAGTGAGTGCTGTTTGTATGATCACCCCCAGTCCTACAGTGAGTGGAGTTTCTATGATCTCCCCCTGTTCTACAGTGAGCGTGAATGGAGTTTGTGTGATCTCTCCATGTTCTACAGAGTGAAAGTGAGTGGAGTTTTTATCATCTCCCCGTGTTCCACAGAGTGAGTGAGTGGAGTTTGTGTGATCTCCCCCTGTTCTACATAGTATGAGTGAGTGAAGTTTGTATGATCTCCCCCTGTCCTACAGAGTGAGAGTGAGTGGAGTTTCTATAATCTCCCCCTGTCCGACAGAGTGAGAGTGAGTGGAGTTTGTGTGATCTCCCCCTGTTCTACAGAGCGGGAGTGAGTGGGGTTTGTATGATCTCCACCTGTTCTACAGAGTGAGTGAGTGGAGTTTGTATGATCTCCCCCAACTCGACAGAGTGAGAGTGAGTGGAGTTTGTATGTTCTCCCACTGTTCTAAAGAGTAAAAGTGAGTGGAGTTTGTATGATCTCCGCCAACTCTACAGAGTGAGCAGAGTTTGTATGTTCTCCCACTGTTCTAAAGAGTGAAAGTGAGTGGAGTTTGTATGATCTCCCCATCTTCTACATAGTGAGAGTGAGTGGAGTTTGCATGATATCCCCCTTTTCACAGAGTGAGTGGAGGTTGTATGATCTCCCCCTGTTCTACAGAGTCCGTGAGTGGAGTTTGTATTATCTCCCCATGTCCTACAGAGTGAGAGTGAGTGGAGTTTGTATGATCTCCCCCTATTCTACAGAGAGAGCGTGAGTGATTGGAGTATGTATGATATCCCCATGTTCTACAGAGTGAGTGAGTGGAGTTTATGTGATCTCCCCCTGTTCTACAGAGTGTGAGTGAGTGAAGTTTGTATGATCTCCCCCTGTCCTACAGAGTGAGAGTGAGTGGAGTTTGTATGATCTCCCCCTGTTCAACAGAATTAGTGGAGTTTGTTTGATCTCCCCATGCCCTACAGAGTGAGAGTGAGTGAGTGGAGTTTGTATGATCTCCCTTGTTCTACAGAGTAAGTGGAGTTTGTATGATCTCCCCCTGTTCTACAGGGAGAGTGAGTGAGTGTAGTTTGTATGATCTCCCCCTCTTCGACAGAGTGAGAGTGAATGTAGTTTGTATGATCTCCCACTGTCCTACAGAGTGAGTGGAGTTTGTATGATCTCCCCCTGTTCTACAGAGTGAGAGTGAGTGTAGTTTGTATGATCTCCCCCTGTCCTACAGAGTGAGAGTGAGTGGAGTATATATGATCTCCCCCTGTTCTCCAGAGTGAGAGTGAGTGGGGTTTGTATGATCTCCCCCTGTTCTACAGAGTGGGAGTGAGTGGAGTTGTATGATCTCCTCATGTCCAACAGAGTGAGAGTCAGTGGAGTTTGTATGATCTCCCCATGTCTTACAGAGGGAGAGTGACAGCAACACGCCCGGCAGCCTTTGTCTCCCTAGTGACGGTGTTTACACACCGCACCAGTTTCTCATTTGAGGCTGAGTCGACCTAGGGAAGGCCCACGAAGGATTCAG